GAGTAGGTTTTTCCCCTGAGTTATTCGATTTTTTCTAGAAAAATCTGCTCCAGCGGACATTTGTTCAAAAAATCATAGAACACTTAATTTTTGAGATATCAATTTAGGATTCAGAACATGTTTAAACAATATGATGGAGTATGTTTTGGTGCCGAGAACGGCTTTCTAGATCGTTTGGTCACTTTACTATGACACGTTAACTTTTCGAAATTTAGCAGCACCATAACTTCATTTTTTTAAATGGCACCCCCCATATTTTATTACTTAGTCGTCTTCGGCGTCTCATTTTACATCTTTTATACTCTATATGTCCTATGCCTAACATTAATAGTTTAGGAGATTGAAACGGATACAAAAGTCTATTTGACATTTATAAAAATATTTTGAAATGATTGTTGACAATTTTGAATTGTCAGTTTCAACAACATGTTTACTCATCTGGAATAAGTGTTTCGAAATGTAAAAACAACAATTAATGTTTATAATAAATAGTATTGTTTCTCTCTAAGTAGACAGCACTTTTTCTTTTGTATTGTTGCTCGTTTCAATAAATTAAGTCTGTTCTGATTAGGCTAAAAATGCGTTACGTAATGAAACCAGTGCGGTAATGAACTTCATTACGTAACTCAAATCACCTCAAATGAGTGCGATAACGATGACTTATCCAAGCAGTCGTAGATAAATGAAATTACAAATCAAATGTAAATTTCCAAACAAAAAAAATTAAATTCCTAATATTATAACATAATTCCAATATATGTAAGCACACAGAAATTTGCTATGGCTCAAGTAGTACAAGAACAGAATAGACAGCTGAACTTCCACTGATTTTACTTGCACCAAAACAAAAAAAAACAAAATATTAAACTGAGTAACAGTTAAAATAAAAGAAAAATATGTGTAATTATCGTCGGATCCTAATAATAATAAAGAAATGTGATTTAAAAATAAACATTCAAGCACTCCCGAAGCACAAATCCTCTGAACTGAGTCGCCAAGCTCGCACATCTAGCCAGAACAGACAATGCATTCCATAAACGGGCTATTTGATAAGAATAAAAATGACAAAATTTTGCAAACCGATGCAATGGTAT